ACAGATCAGGTCTTAATGCACTAGTATAGGATCTGAAAATCCAATTTTAACATAATTCTTTATATCAGGCATGGGGAACTTTTTTGGGTTGGGAGCCACTAACCCAGAGATAAATCAGTTGGGGGCTGCACACAAGTGAGAAGCAAAACAAAAAACTCCAAAAGATCACTAACATGGCCCCCAGCCGAGGAGAGACACTTCGCACATTTCCCTTGTACACCATGCCTAGTGGGGTCCAGGCTAGTAGATTTTGTGTGCTCCAGTTCCATAGGGGGACAATAGGAGGGCTGGAGCACCAGTGCGGGCTCCCCAATGCTGGGAAGGAGCCCTGAGCCTCGGGGGCCGCATCTGGCCTCCCAGCCCTTAGGTTCCCCATCCCTGCTTTATGTAGTGCAAGCCTAAATTCTTGGATTCTGATCAGATCAAACTACTGCACTAACTTTGAGATTAACATAACATCATCTCACTTTCAGTGTTATGCATTAAACCTCACAACCCTGCCACCCAACAAGCTAACAGCTGCTGTTCATGTCTTACTGAAGAATTCCTAAATACTAGCAAATTTGTTTTAGAATTATTCACTAACTACCCCAATCCCCTCAACCAGTCCTGTTCATTAAAATTCCTCAAGGACTCTCAAATGGAAAAACTGGAAGTTTCAAGGGAAGCTAGAGTTGTGCAACATGACAATCGGGATTAGATTTTTTTCAAAGGTAAATTGCAAAAATAATTTGTCCAAATTTCTTTAGCTTCTATGCAAGTTTTCCTCTACAGAATGCATAGCCACCACTTCAGAGAGAGTGCAGTTTGAGAGAAATTTAGAAGGTTGATAGGATAGGAAGAACAAGAATCAGCTTTGCAACAACAACCTAGTGACAGTGTTGGAAAGAGTACCACTGTGCCATAAATCCACTTGACCCAGAGGAGAAATTGAAGCAGCTGGATTGCAATTATCCAAACATAGCACTGTAATAAAAATTTGCTGTGTCGGTCTTCCACATTCACATGCACACAAACACAAGAAGCCCAGAAGACGACCAAACTAACTTACTTTGTGTTCCTCAAGGTCCTGAGAGATCTCCTTGATCACCTGCTTTTCTTTCTGAAGACAAAAATACAGATACAGAATCCCAACAAAATTCAGTGGGCTGCATGCTACAAACTATTTTTGTGGTGCGAATCCAATGTAGACAAGGGACATCTCAGTTACAAATCTGTATCAAATCCAAAATAGCTCTTTAAGTTAAAGATTTGGTTTTTAAAAGTTTAAGACCAAAGACACTGTAACCAACAGGATGCTGCTCACAGGACATCAGAAGAGAGCTGGGATCAACTTAGCAATTAGAAATCCAGGCACTGAAGACGTGAAAAATCTTGCAGGGGAACCACAACAGGGAGTGTGGAAGTTCAGCAGCTCAAAATATTAGTTCTGAGTGAGGTGGCAGAGTCAGGGAGGCCTCTAGCGGTCAAGGTCTGGAAAGCAGCAATAAAAAAAGCAACAAGGTCAAAAGAAAAGTTTGCTTTTCGGTACTGTGGGAGAACTGTGAGCTGGGAGGAAAGCCATGGCTGTAGGAGGGATGGGAAGAGGAACCAAGGATGTGGCTCAGAGCCATAGCAACTGAGGAATTCCTGTAGCTCAACCTGTCAAGCTCATTCAGGGACACTATGACATTTTCTGAAGAGCATAACACCTTTTCAAATTGCTTGAAGTACCACAGCAGATAGAGAATCTGTAGTTTGCTGAAGGCAAAAGGAGACCACAAAATAGACTGGGTTGTCTGGAAAAAAAAAATCTCAAAATCTTACATACATCCAGAATAAATGCCAACAAAGTGTCCTTAATTCCTCTATGGCATGCATAGGTTAAGGAGCCAGATGGCCCTGCATTGTAAATACAGGTGGTCCTTCCCTTATGTCTCATCACAACCAAATACAGCAATTTTACTACTACTACTCCAGAGCTAAGTCATACATAGAGTGTAATGTACAGCAAAGCACATAGAATTCGATGCCTGAAAATGCACTAGCTTATCACACTAAATTCATTTGAATGCTGCAAATAAGGAGTACGCTTTTCGGCAGTATCTTAAAAAGAACAAAAATCAGAAGTTCAAGAATCCCAGACATCAGTGCACAAGCAACAGTCTTCTTACTTGTATTGTGGGGTATACAAGTATACACACTCTAGTCTGGCACCAAAAAGGCACTCCTAAATTAAGATGAGCCAACAGGGATGCCAAAAATCTTGAAACTGAATTGATAAGCATTCAGTCCTGAATTTGGACAATTCATTTTTGCAATAAAGAACAAAACTTCTCTACAGTGAAACATCCACATACGACAGTTATCCATTTAGTTGTCTTACTGAAACATTTTCCACTCTGAACTAAGTCCAAGATACCATAGATTGATCAGAATCTCATGGCTATAGATTTCAAAACTAGTTTTTATTTTAAAAGAGGTCAGTCACTCATGTTCTATGATTTTATGTTCAGTGACTAAACATGACAACTACTATGAGCCCCTTGGATCTTTTAACTTGGAAGAATACACGTTATGCAAGTCAACTAAACGTGAAAAACACAGAAAACCGGTAACTGATAGTATTTTGGAAGTAGAGTTCCAAAATCCCCCAATTCCTTTGGTTTTTTTTTTTTGAGGGATAGAACCGAAAGTTTGAGATTACAGTCTCCTATTGATTTATTTTTGTCTACACAGAGGTGAAAAAAATAACAATGTGAACTTAGAAAAAATAGAATTGATATACACAAAGCATATGAAGCAATGGGTTCAAAGCTAGCGTGAAATGGTCTTGATAAGAAATCCTTGCAAAAGAACTTGCAAAATCAGGACCACAGAAAGTATATTCATGAAGGGCAGCAAAATCATTTAAGTTATTTATAATTAAAATTAGTCTAAAAAATAAAGCATGTTTAAATTTTATCTAATATTTGCCTGCAAGGCAAGCCTCTGGCATGTCTACAAATCAAGAAGACAGCTGGATAATTCAATTTTGGTTCATTCCCTAAACTATTTCATCCTCAGATGTCAAATTTTTCACTTTTTTAAAAAGTCCGTACCATTGCACCAATATTTAAGTAGCTAAAGTAATAAAATCAATATTCTTCGAGGAATTCTTGTACAGATCCAGGAAGTGAAGTAACTAGAAAAACTGAGTTTTCTCCCCTCCTACAGTATGAAATGTTTTACTCTTATTTATGGTTATGTATATAAGCATTAGAAAATAATGAAGATACTTTATTTCTCTCTTTTTCTACCATTGTGGAGAAAATGTAATTTTTATGTTGGTAAGAGCAGCTTTTGAATGTTAAACATGTTCAGATATGTAACATTTAATAAAAAGTCAAGATTTTGTTTTCCCTGTTTTTCTGCCATTTACATCCTATTGATAAAATTCATCCCAGGTGGAGAGAGTCCAAAACAAGGCTTTCCACATCACCTGACCCTCACAGCCAAGGTTTAAGTGTGGTAGGAGTTACATAAATCCTCTGATGATGAAGTTTGGCTCCATACAACCAGTTGATCTGTGCAAAAATACTATGTTTTCTCTGATGTCACCTCTCCACGTTGGTTCATACATTAAAAGTATTAATTGTTATGCTCAAAGCCCTCTAACTGCATGCACCATTGAGATTCATGCTTGAAGAGCAACTTTTTTTTTGGTTTAAAAAAAATTGTACCTGTGCTCTTTGAAGTTTTCATTCTGATTCCAATTGTTGTAAGAGTGCAGGTCAGCTTTTGAAATAGTTATCTTGCTGTTCATTTGTGTTTAAGAATAGCTGTCCCACTGAAGTTGAGAAGTTGTTCTACGGATCTATTGGCCCTTCAGTGCATACAATTCCCTAAGCTGTTCATACATTCCTATGTAACAAGTCCCAAAATGGAATTTATGATGTAGACACAACTTTAACTCATAGTAAAACTAGCTGGCAAGATTCTAATACAAGTCATACATTTAAGATGATTCTAACTGGGTTGTCTGTCATAGATGTAAGGGTGTGTCTAGACTACATGGTTTTGTCGACAAAAGTGGACTTTTGTCGACGAAACTATACCTGCGTCTACACTGCCGCTGAGTTCGGTTGACATAACGTCGACAGAACTCAGCAGTTTTGTCGATGGCGGTAAACCTGTCATTCTACAAGGAATAATGCCTTCTGTTGACAGAGTTCTGTCGATAGAAGGCATTATTGCATTTACACTGTCCTTTGCATCTACACTGTCGTGTCGACGAAGCGGCTTGCTTTGTCGACAGAACTGGATGTAGTCTAGATGCTCTTTGTCGACAGAAGCTTTGTCGACCGTATCTGTAGACAAAACTTCTGTCGACAAAAGCCTCCAAGAGCTAGACACTTCCTTGCTATCTTTGGGGGACTTAAGCTCACTCAAGTTCTCTTTGGGAACTTCAGGTATAGTATCTCAGCTGACCCTCACTTTCGGAATAAAGTTGCAACAATAAATGCTTTATTTCTGGGCAGGATGGTTCAATGGACTACTGTGATGTACTATCATTGATTGCTTGTAGAAAATGAATAGCTGCAATCTAATCACAGTCCGACCCTCCAGACCAGCAAGAAATGCTCTGTAGAAGACAAGTCACATATCCAGACTAGTTGCAGATCTCTAGGTTTGTAGATAAACTAGGCTGGGATACCATAAGAAGTAGGATTGTCACAGAATTAAACACTAATAGTTCCAGATGTACAGGTAAATTATTGGATTATACTGAGCTACGACAATATCAAAGCTAGTTTGCAAAGAGGGAAAAATTGTTCATGCTCTCTATAACAATGGGTTATATAAAGGACTCCATCGAGGCAGGACATTTATCTGTTTTATAACATACCCATACTATTAAACACTTGGACCTGTGCTTAAATGCTAATCTTGTTTCTGCACAACTCATGTTTAGTCAGTGTAGGTTACCAGTACAGATCCTGCATCCTGAAGGCTCTGCTTGCAAAGAGCTCAACACAGAGTAGTGCAAAACAATACATTTTTATTTGTTCACAGTTAAACACAAGCAACTGCCTTGACATTTTAGAACATTCTAATAAGGACAGCAAAACCTCCTTTTGGTTTAAAGTTCTCTTTAGCTTAGATTGTACCATTTTTCCTTGTATTTCATATTTATGGCATTTAATGTAGATTGTTTAACATGCTTGCAAAGAGCGAGGCAGGGAACAGATTACCTTTTGACAAAGACAGAATTTTAGATTTAACTAAAAGCAGTCAGTTAAAAAAAAATCTGTCTCCACTTCACTGATGGATCCCTTTAAACAAAATGCAAGTTACTACATACAGTAGATCCATAATTTTAGGGATTTACAAAAACAATGGCAAAATTTGTTCCTCCATAATCATCATGGTCCATAGATAAACCTTCTAAAGCGGTTTCTGATTCCACCCCAGTGCTAACATCCTTTAAAAAGAGAAAAGGATGCCTACTTAGGAGCTTTGGTTTGCTCCAGGGCATGTTTGCTTAAAAAAAAAAAAAGCCCCTCCACTAAATAAAATGAGTCACCATGGGCAGAACAGGCTGTTGGGATTTGCCAAACTCGAGGGGTTTCTAATTGATTCCTGTAACAGAACTGTACTCAACAGCTGAGCTAGCCCTTTTAGGGGCAATGTGCAAACTGTTCTCTTCTGGGTGAGTAGGATATGAAGCCTTTGAGTCTTCACTCATTTGCTATTGCAGCTACCACTAAGTCTTAGAAATACAGATGCAACTACAAAACCAGTCAATATCACTGGTAAGTGACATTATTTCCTATGCAGGTTCAACCTTTGCCAAAACTAAAGCTCTCCTTTACTTTCAGAGTCAGGGTTGTCTGAGATACTGAAAGTAGAAATGTATTTAGACCATAAGTTTTAAGAGAAAGGTGGAATGGAAGGGAAGGTATTGTCTGGTGGGGGGAGGGGGGGAGAGGAAGTCACAGCAGCTGTTTGTCAGGTTGGCAGAATGCCAGTCTGCTTTGATCAGTTTTATCCCCATTTAGACTAGGTCAAGCTAGAAAAACAGATTATAAGTGTAGTTACTTTACCTTTCAAAATATTCTTACCAGAACAAAATGACACTGGTACACTGGAACTCTGAAGTCTGAAAAGATCATGTTACAGACTAAGTGATCCTGGATCCAGACATACCACAGTCTCATAAAAATGACGTTCTCTCTTTCCTAATAGTGAATCTCTGTTCTGACAGGAAGGAAACTAAGAGTCTGACGACTGACACAAATCCGGAACATGCAAGGCTCCCCATTGACTTCAATGGAAATAACAAACATGGGAAGGCTGCAGGATTGGGTGCAGCTTTTTGAGCTACACACACTTGCCCAATGGCAAGCTCAGTTGCTTGGGACAGTAAAGTGGAGGGGAAGGGTAGAGAGAAAAGGAGAGAAGTGAATAGCCACAAACTGGACTGACATGACACCTGTATCCAAGAGAGAAATAGTAATGGGGAGGGGGAGGATTTCCTTTGGGAGTCTATCCAATGATCGTTGAGTCAAGCCTGGTATCTTCGGAACTACTCCTGGAAAGAAAAATGTTTAAGATTCTTCACCTCCACTCAGAACAATTTAAGGTCAGACAAGTACCAGTTTTTTAGACAAACAATGAATATCCCTCTTACTCACCCAAGGAAAAAAATCAGAAGCAATAGTGTTTTAACAAGACCTCAGCAAATAGTATGCAGTTTCCTGGGGAGGGACGTTTGTTCACATATAATTTTCCAGGAAATGTTAAGGACATAAGAAACAATTATTATGAGTTGGGGTGATTGCAACATTAGTCTGCAGATGTGTTTTGGTTTTTAACCATTCAGTCAATTGGCCAAAGTCCAATCTAATAAAGCCCAGAGTTGGGGGAAAACAAACAGGCAAAATAAAGACTTTCAGATGAATGCACTTGAAACTTTGTTTTTGCTTCATTCCAGAAGAACGTAACCAAAGTCACCTGCAAGGGCAACACAATTAACTGTTCTAGACTGGAAGCTTGCTGAGACATTTCAGCTAAATAAAGCGCTAAGCATTCATAGGTAGATTCACAAAGGTTAATTTGGCCTCATATTGCACTCAAGTTCATAGGATGCAACCACTCATTGGGAAGAGGAGAAGGGAAAGAATACTTATAAATGCTAACAGCTGCCCCTTCAAATTAGTACACACTGCTAATGATGGGATCTGCAAGAGCAGAAGCAAAAGAAAGTTAGGCCGGGCATTACAATTCCACACCCTACATCCATTTTGCATTCATTCAGCAGTCATCTTATGTAAAAATACATCAGTCCTGTTTCCACTGCACGAGCTAGCTGCTCAGACCAATGAAACAAAAGCTTTTAGTTAAACTTGCATTCACGCCTCCTGTTCTATGCCACGAATATGAAAATAACACTGATTGACTATCTTCCTTTTTAACTGTGGTCATGATGAGTTTCATTGTAGTCCATGATATGAAGCGGTCCAACACTGCCTTCCTGGTTCATAGGTGAGGGGCTCGGGTTGTCGAGGTTTGATGGAACCTTTGCCTCCAGGCTTGGATCTTTACACAGTTCACTCTTTAGAGTGTCAGAAAGACTGTTGATGGTCATACCCTCCTCATCACACTGGCTCTCACTCTTGTTGCGGAATAATTCGCGCACCTTCATTCCAAGAAAGCTTTTAGAGCTGGGGAGTGAGCCTACAGTTAGTGGGACACTGGTGGAGGGCTCCGGCAACATAGATGCTTCCCGGCGATTGCTGAACTGTCCCATTCTCTGGTTCTGGGATTTTTCTGGGGTGGACAGCTCACTGCTGCTGCCACCTTTACTACTACTGCTACCCCGTGTGCTTGGAGGCTTGGTCTCTCCATTTCTACCAAATGCTTCTTCACTGTATCCTGTCACTGAGTCTGCAAAACCTTCAATACTACAATCCAGCCTGTTTTGGAAGAAGACAGAGAAAGAAAGGGTCAAAATGGTGGTAGCAATGATACACCATGAAGAGAGCAAGGCAATTTACTTTGATTAGCTTCTATCTCTGCTACTACAGATGTGCTTAGACATGCCTTCATTAGTTTCTCCCTTCACTCAATCCTATAGCACTGCAAAAAGCCAATGAACATACTATAGCCACAAAGATAAACCAATGTTACAGATTTAGCATTCAGCGGTGGATTTAAGTCCAAGTCTGCCAGACATCTAAAGGGTAGGATGTACCTGCATCCTCAATGCCTTAGGAAGAGAATGAGGCTATAAATACCACTTGGATTTGTACATCTATTCTTTAAAGACTGAACAATAGCTGTTCTTTCTATATCATTGGGCGGGAAAGAGAGGATAAACTATTCTGATAATACTACAGACTAGGAGCAGGAAGCATATCAAGAGTGGGAAGGATTTATTTAAATCATATATATGGGGATGCCAATCAGCAGAACAGACAGATTCCTGAAATGGCAAAAGATGTCTGTTGTGTATAATCAAGGTTAGTTTTTCCTCCTTCACCGGAGAATCCCCTTTTAAACTCTGATAAAATCTCAAGAGTCAATGAAAGCAACACAGAGTTTTTCTTTGCCTTCCAGATACTCAGCTTCAATTTAAATGCATTTCATTTGCCTAAAAGGGATGCCTCTGACATAACCTACTCAAGCAATGCATACCCAACCGGCTTTGGCTGGTAATGACAGTAAATCCAGGCACATTGTGAGAAACAATGTCTCATCACTGACAATGTTTCAGCCCAGGAAAAACTGTCAATTCCTGAGCCTTCTGTAGGCATAATAAAGAGTTCAACAATTTTCATGATAAATGCAGCACAGTTTGGATTAGTTTTCAGCATCCAGTTCTGAATATCAGCCACCCTAAAGTCCTTATTTAATGCAACAAGAACAAACTGCCAATGGAGTAAGCTATTTCCCTGGAGAACATTCTATTTAAATATACTGTATTCTCTATATCGCCAACATTAGTTCCTACCAGTCAGTCAACTCATTGTTACAAAGGGTAAAGCTGTCCAAATCAGACAAGCTTAACTAGATTCCTCATGTAGCAATTAAAATAGTTAAGAAAATTCATATTTTGCTGCAGATTAAAATGATAGGTCCTGGATGTGAGCTACTGGAATGCAGATTCTTCAGCAAGAAAACAAAGGATATTTTACTAGAATCATTTTTACCCTGCAGCTAGTTTGCAATAGTATTTCAGTTACTAAAGAGCTACCTTACAGTTTATTATCAATACTTTTATTGACTCTCTAGGTGATGTGGACAAGCCACTCATATCAGTTTCACCACCTCCAAGAATGGGAAAAGCTGAATACGGTCCTTGGATGCATAAGGATGGCAGACAATGCTAAACACATTACTGAAATTCACCTCTAGCAGCTTACTAGTAGCTCATCAACCTTTGTAATACTGTCCTTACCTTTCTTCTGCTGCTTCAGCTGCTTCTGTTTTTTCATCGTCAAGTTTTTTCAATAGGCTATCCTTCTCCCACCGGCTATACAGATTTAAAATCTCCAGCTCGAATGCTTGTGTAATTCTTTTCTGGGCTTTGTATCTGCTCTCCACAGCTTGCAATTGGCCTCTAGACACACAATGAGTTCATTACCACCAATTTAAATTTCTCATACTGTATAACCCAATTGCCAATGCATATTTTTAAATTTTCTTTATAAGGGTATATTTTATTGCACCAACTTCTACTGGTGAAAACAACTCGCTATCTTTGGAGCTCACATACACTTCTCCAGATCTGTGTAAGAAAAAAGCTTGTCTCTTTCACTAAAAGAAGTTGGTCTAATATAAGATATTGCTTCACCCACCTTGTTTCTTTAATACCCTGGGATCTACACAGCTAAAGCAACACTGCAAACAGCTTTATTTGTAATGTAAATTAGTATCAGCTACTGAAGCGAAATCCCAACCTTGCATGGATTTTGACATCCTCCAGATATTTCTTTTGCTCTAGTAACAGGTGGTCTTTCTTCGAGAGCTGAGACTCCAGTTCGACTATCCGCTTCTGGGAGGCATCAAGCCTCTGGCTTTGCTGTTGAACACAAAATTTTGCTTTCTCCAGTTCTTTCCGAGAAGCAGCCTTCATCATCTCCACTTCCTGAAAAGAGAGGTAACTGTTACTAAGCAATACACCATTTAGTGTCTCAGTCACACACCCCTGAAAACACAAGTAAAAGGCTAAACTTTGGTCATATCTCAGGATTTCCCTGGGGAAGAAAAGGTAAAGGTTTTAAAGAAAGCTTTAGTGAGGACAGGATTCCTATACATTTGTAGCATTTATATGTGTGCATACAGTTACAGACAGTATAATTTCTGTGAAAGATAAAATAAAGCAAGCGTTTAAAAAAAAAAGTGATGCAGAACTGGAGAACTTCTGAACGCATAAGGGATACTACATAACCATGAATATAGCTCCACATGACCAGAATTTATTAGCACCTCAGTGTTCCTTGCTTAAGCCCTTTCCAACAGAGGTCAGGTTTGTCAGTCCTGGATCAGATTACATTTTAAATTGAAAATTATCCATTGTAGTCCATAATGTGTCAATAAAAAGGCACTTCTTTGTTTCTGGCTTTACAGTTTCCCTTTCCTGATTGCTGTCTCTCAGGTAAGAGCAGGTATGCTATGCTGTACATGTCACTTGTTCTTTTGGTACAAAAATGTTTCCCTGAGCAGAGATAATCAAACCACAAGGTCCTTACAGGGCATGAAAGATATGAGCTGCTGCAGGAGATCAGCAGTTTTAAGTTACGGATGTCAACAAGTAGTCAACTATACGATTAACTGATAACCCTAAGGTTATCAGTTAATCTTGCTGACTACTCGCATTCCCCTCCCCGCCCCTTGCTGCCTCAGAGGCAGCAGAGGGAGAGGGAGAAGGAAGCAGGAGATGGTGAGCAGGGAACACAGCACCCTAATTTATATAATATTGCAAACTGAAATGAATCGTGACATATATAACTTCCTTAAAACAACAAAACAAAACAGAGACATGTCTATGTCCAGTATAATAATTATATATTAGTATTATGCCCACTTAATCTTACTTTTTATTTGTACAACTCTAAATTAATCTATGTACCTACTGCATCATGTAGCCACAACTTGAATATATAACTAAACTTAAGTGTAATGTGGTGTGCATTAAACAAACAATATTTAAAATAGAAAATGCCTTAAATTGAGACTAACTGGTTTTTTCCTGGGGCAGTAAAATCCATCATTTTACCTGGTAAAAACTATGCCGTCTTAGAAGTTATTTGTAGACAGTCTGGATATCCTGGCATGAATAACACAAAAGCTCTCAATGGAAGACAAATCACAGTAGATATTCCTTCATTTGCTTTGAAATTGGTTGCAAATATTTTTGTCAGTTTGTTCACTGATTTGTAAAGAGTTTCCTTCTTCACTGAAAAGCCACTATTGAACTTGATGATGATGCTACAGCAAATCTTTCCGGAAAGGCCTTGCCTGTGACCTGCATACTGTACCTTTGATTTGTCTGCATGCTTGTGCTGCAGCTGTTCCAAGTACAGCTCATTGACCTCCCCAAGAACCAGAAGTTGCCTATTCAAGAACTCCATCTGCTGCTGGACTGACTCACTGTTGGAAAGCTTAAAAAAAAAAAAGCGCACACAATACATCAGCATTCACAGTGAACAGTTTAATCTAAGTGTCACACCTGACCTACACAACCTCTGTGGGTTATATTTACTGAAAAGAAAAAAAGAAAATCAAACCATAATGCCTAGTGAAAGTACCACACAATTATTACAAATCAAGTGAATGGATGTTCCTCAAAGTGGCTGCTGGTAAAATTTGTGACATCCCATGAGAAATACAATATTTAATTAGCTTAACCTTTCAGACAGTTTGCTTCAAATGCTCATTTATGTGTGAAGTCCCTTTAGTTTATGACAGGACTTATTAACATATGGAAATATGTAAGGATAGCTTTATCCAAGCACACATTGCTCAATCTGAGAAATTCCAAATCTGGGCCAGATATCCAAAATGAGAAGGAAGATTTCAGCTTCAGCCATCTCAGGACCACACACATATAAGTTCTTCAGCATAAAATTCTTCATACCCTTTGATTACTTAAAATCAATACCACGGAAATCAGTGTAGCATGAGCAGCAGATTACCCAAAGTGGTGGAGGCCTTGTGAGAACCTAAGAGAAGTTTGCGAATGGATACTATCAAGAAAATTCATAACAAAAAAGAGACAGAAAGCAAATCTTACCTTCTGAGAAACTTGGCTGAGAAGCAATTCTGTGTGACACACCTTGTTATTGGCTTTCTTTAATTCAAACCTCAAATCTGCAATCATATTCCTACAGTCCTCCAGCTTGGTCTATTCACAGAGAGAGCAAAAGACTTAAGGTTTGGAAACTGTACTACAGACCTAGCAAAATACACATTTGGCAGGGTGGCCAGCATTCCCCCACAAGCATAATCAGTGGTTACAGATTAAACACTTAAAATTATTGCTGCTATCCAAAGATCAGTTGAAAGCATGCAATTTGCCATTTCTAAATTCTACACAAAGCAAAATAAAACAATACCACAAATAAAGGAATCAACTTCATTAGATGAATTTTTAACTGCATGTTGTTTTAGGAGAGGTGAAATACACCAAAGAGCTATTTCATGCCAGCTCACTAGCGGGGTTATTTTTAAAGCTACATTATCAGTTGACTACAGCTCTTCCATGCAATGTTTCATACCTGCAATTCCTGGCTCTGGTTGTAGAATTCTTCCCTGTCATGTTGCAGCTGTCGGATCTGGCTGTGAAGCTGAGCCACTATGTTATCATGCTCCTCCTGAAACTGGTGGTACCTGGCCTGCTCTTTCTGCAGACTAAGCTTCAAGGACTGGATATCTTTTTCCTGTAGTTTTAGCTGATCTTTCTGTTCAGAAGCACATTCCAAAAGTCAGATGACCAAATTTGCTATTCCAACCAGTACATTTGAGATCACTGCCTCAAGTCAACCAGCAAATAATGGATCAAAACCAAAACCCACTAATAGCATAGTCTTCCAACTTGGCTATGTTACAGACCTTTAGAGTGCTTCTCATACAAAAAGGACTTTGTGCGGTTTTTTGTTTGTTTGTTTTTTTGTAAAGAAATGGTTAAAGGTGCCAAGCTGGACATACTGGAAAGCGCAGTTACATCCATGAAATATAGTCAGCAGTTATGTATGTTCCTCCACATCACTGCATGGTCCAGTAGTAACCTAAAGGGACAGCCTCAGGGAACAGAGGGTCATTTCATTTCCAATAATTACTTAGTTCTTAGTAAGGATGTTAAAATGTGGTTAATTGACTAGTTGATGGAATTTCCATTGACTAGCTGACAGGCACTCCTGCATTCCTCCTTTGAAATGTACAGGAGCCCCATAAGGGGCTCCTGTACATTTCAAAGAAGGAATGTAGAACCCATGTACAGCCCAGGGCCAGTGGGATGTCCTGCTGACTCTAGACTTCACATGGGGGCTTTCTTTGAAATGCACAAGAGTCCCCAGGGGACTCCAGCTGACCCCAGGCTCCCATGGTGCTGCCCCTTGGAAACGCTGCTGCTGTGTTTCAAAAGGGCAGCTGCACTGAGCCTGGGCTCATCTGAGGACTCCGGCTGATCCTGGGCTTCTGCAGCACTGCCTCTTTGAAACACCACTGCAGCGTTTCAAAGGGGCAGTGCACACAATCGCGATTAAATTTTTAATTGCGTGATTGTAGAAGCTGTAGAAACCATTTTCATATTTAGCTAAAAGCCATCTTGTATAACAGAAACCATTTCAGCTTCTCTCTCAAGCACGTAGACCAAAGTAAACTTTCTGTCACCCCGTGAGAAGAGGCCTACAGGATGGACTATTGGTATGCGTTAATTGGGCTGGTTGGGACAGGAGATGTACTCCCTGTACATCGTACCTGTCCGCCATCTTGTTAATAAGGCTTTGTTTTTCCAAGTTTAATTGAGGATTTTTGTAATTGAATGCCCTGACGTCAGACTGTTTGGCTAAGGGTATAAAGATACTAAAATTAATTGTATTAGCCAGCCTTACTGGGCCTGGCTTTGCTGGAACCACTTTTGGCTCATGCTGTGCTTTATTAATTAATAAAGCTGTTTGTTAGCTGCCTAAACAGAGAGGAGCGTTTTTTTTTTTTGCTTCAACATGATTAATCGCGAATAATTTTTTAAATCGCTTGACAGCCCTAATAATAATTCTAACAAAACTAAAGTTATTTTACATGGACTCCCCACCGAGTTTCCCTCACTAATTTAAGACTAGAAACTCTGAAAAAGAGAGAACATATTTGAGACACTTAGTTTTCTGCCAGCATTCCTCCTCCTCAAATGGAAAGCACATAGCTCTTCAAGAAACATAACAAGGTTACTAGCCTAATGTTAAGGCTGCCCAAGCAAGCACAACATTAGCTGTTAAATCACAACATCCTTCTAAGTTTGGCAGTTATTTAAGCTGGCTTCTTCAGGTACAGGTTCAGTTCAATGCCCTTTAGGATAAGTTACCAGTTTAAAGTAATTACAATGCATTAAAATTATTCACAATCTATTTCACAAAAATTGGAGTACTTGAAGGTTGCCTTAAAAAAAAAAAACCCCACAACCTTCAATGATAAATACTTTAAAAGATTTTAAAATTCTATGAAACTATAATGGATGCTGTCTGGGACAGGACTTCACAGATTTGATAATGATGCATTAGGTAGCACTTCTTGGCATGCATAGCTCTGAAATCCTTGCTCACCATGGCAGCATTATGTTCCTCCATTGCTGTTGCTTTGATCACTTTTCGCAGGAGTCGCCGGTTCCGAAGGGCATGTTGTTGCCTTTTGAAGCGCTCATACAATAACTGGTTGTGTAGCAAAAGCAATTGGTTACGCAGGGTGTGAATCTCATCAGAAGGGGGAGAACCTAGACAGAGTGGAGGTTACTATTATATAAGGTTTGATCTTATTACATACATACATTTTACCTTACATCCTCATTCAGTTCCATCCTGCTTTTCCAGGGTTATTTTTAACTGCAAAACTGAATGGAAAAAATGAGGAATTTAAAGGAATGTATCAACAGTTATCACAAAACTTTACAAGTTCAAAGCTCCACAGTGTCTTTAATCCTCACCATGCACAGGGTTTGTAGGTACCAATTTATAATCCACATTTTACAGAGGAGGATAAAGTTTTCTAGAATGCCAAGGTGGCTTAGACACTTTAGAAACTGCGATTGAGGTTATGTCTACATTACAAAGTAAAACTTGCAGCACCAGGTTTCAGAGCTCAGGCTACCAGTCGACTTGGTTTGCTGGACTAAAAATAGCAGTGTAGACCCACTTGGAATGGAGGCTGGACTCCTGAACCCTTTGCTCTTCTTGGATTTCAGAGCCCAGGCTCTAGCCTGTATGGGAACGACTATACTGGTATTTTTAAACTCTCCAGCCCAAGCCAACTGACCTGGGTTCTGAGACTGGGTGCCAAGTTCTTTTCTTAGCGGTGTACACATACCCTTCGCTACCTACTTTCCACTGACTTCTGGTGGAACCTAAAATACTTTTTGAAAATTTTACTGAGGGAATTTGAAAGAACTAATTTGCACAAAGTTACACAGCAAATCAGTGACCGAACCAGAATCAGAAATCAGAGCCCTCCAATGTTTAAGCATATACTCATTCCTTCAGCGTACCCAGCCTTTATTCTTATAAAAATTTGCAACAACCCATTTGAATCCTGAAACTGATTCTGCCAACATTCTCTCTGACATTACATGGTTTTGTCACCCATGAAAAGGTTTCATGAGTACTGGGCTTGTGGCTCACAGAATCATACAGCTGGAAGAGACCGCAGGAGGTCATCAAATCCAGCCCCCTGCCCAAGGCAGGACCAATCCCAACTAAATCAACCCAGCCAGGGCTTTGTCAAGCCGAGACTTAAAAACCTCTAGGGATGGAGATTCCACCACCTCCCTAGGCAATCCATTCCAGTGCTTTACCACCCTCCTAGTGAAATAGTTTTTCCTAATATCCAACCTAGACCTTTCTTACTGTAACTTGAGACCATTGCTCCTTGTTCTGCCACCCATCACTACTGTGAACAGCCTCTCTCCCTCCTTTTTGGAATCCCCCCTTCAGTAAGTTGAAGGCTGCTATCAAATTCCCCTCACTCTTCTCTTCTGCAGACTAAACAAACCCAAATCCTCATAGGTCATGCGCTCCAGCCCCCTAATCATTTTGGTCGCCCTCCGCTGGACCTTCTCCAATGGGTCCACATCCTTTCTTTAGTGGGGGGCCCAGAACTGGACACAATATTCTAGATGTGGCCTCGCTACAGCCGAATAAAGGGGAATAATCACTTCTCTAGATCTGCTGGCAATGCCCCTCCTAATGCACCCTAATATGCCATTAGCCTTCTTGGCTACAAGGGCACCCTGTTGAATGAATATGAATATAAATACTTTTGAGAAAGAATAATGAGACATTGTAGGACATTTTAAAATGTCAGTTTTAAATATTTCAGGAACTGATATCTTCTACAAAGCCATTGGAAAAATTTTAAACAGACCAATTTCACACTCCTTTGATATTTCACAATTCTACCTTAGAAAAACAGACTTATTTAAAAGCATTCCTAAGCACAGGCAAATCTTTTTAAAGTTTTCTAACAGTGTACAGCAGTGATGGGCAACCTAGACTAGTGAGTGGACTGCATGAGTGGCCCTCCTTCTCAGTGGGCCACAAGATTGCCATAACCAAGACGGTTTCTTGGGATAGAATAGTTTTGCTAATTGAGCCTGCGTATCTAGAATGTGCAAGGTGTGCTGACTGAACCATCACAGCGCTTTGATTGGATGCAGTGGGAGAGCCTTGCTCTCACAGTCAATGTTGTGTGCAATGAGCAGGCACCTCATATGCTCTTGCTGTATATGCATGTCACTTCAGTAATACCAGTAGGAAGAAAAAAAACTACACAGACAGAAACTAGTGGAATCTGGCAAATCTTCACATGGGCCACACACAGAACCCTGATGGGTCAACATATGCCCCCTCCCACTGGTGTAAGGGGTAGGTTTTTGATCAACAAAACTATGCTGAAGTCAATTATGACCCAACTGGAGCTTCCAGATGGCTCAAGTGAAGAAAGAGGAGGGACATATTTGAATTAAGGGAACCAGACTAAGGTGTCAAAAATGACTTCTGTTCTAAAACCCTTCTGCCTCACAGTTATATGGATTTTTTCCAACAGACTCATTTATTTTTAAATTCTGCCCTCCCGCCCTCAGAAGAGTCAAGCTCAGAAGGAAGCATGAGATGACAAAACTGTGAGATATTTATTAAACGATAAGAAAAGATTTCAGTTTGAGTGAACCCTCTCCCCTGAAAAAAATGGTATTCTTAGTTCTGCAGGAAAGGCAGTTATTACCTTCCAGAAAACCCCAAACTTGTAGTGTTGAAACACAATGGTGGCTGCTAAGGCAAAGACGAGTAATAATTTTTAAGGCGGGGGGACTCTAGGAATTTGGTACGTAATCAAGGGCTGCACTCTTCTATGATATTAATGGAGGAGGTGCAAGGTCGGTAAAAGCTATGAGATTGTGCTGGGGGCGGGGCAGCATACAAAACTGCCGCTCGCCAAGGGGTGAGCAGCGGGCAGAGATGTATATTGTCTCTGCAGTCTGCCACTTTGAGCAGCATGTGGGGGTGCGGCAAGCAGGAAGCCTGCCCCAGACTGGGGCTGTATTTTGCCCATCCCTGTGCTAGAGTAGAGAAATTATATCTTAATGGCAGTCACCATCCAACTGTAGTGTGTGGGGGAAAAAGCCAAATATGCAGTCCATCATTTACGTAAACCAAGCTGCAGAAGATACAAAGAAATGTATTTTGACTGATTATAGACTCCGTTTATGGCCCTAAACCAAGAAAAACTTGTTTACCTCCAAAGTGAGTCCAGTCAGCCGATTTGCTTGGCAGAGGCAATCTAGAAATAAAAACACAGTGTTAACCGTCTGTTCAGCGTAAACACTTTACAAGGCAGGCAGACTGCAAAGCCCTAAGAACAGGGACTGTATTTCAATCTAACAAAGAAGAGAGCATATTAGAGAATAATTCATGGAGCAGGGTGTAAAGATCACTGTAAGAAGTGGGCTGTAAGGCGGCATCTGAAAGACAGCAAGTGTGCTTGGTAGATAAGCTGCTGCTGGCCCCGCTCCCAGGGAGGCATCATTGTGGGCTCTGCAGCATGTAACCAGAGAGCCAGCATATAACTTGTGGCAGGGAGGTGGGCTGGGCCCACCATGATCAGGGGTTTCTGTGAGGGGCCCTAAGGATGCTAAGAAGCAGGTAACAGATTAATCGTATAGTGCTCCACTTGGAAATCTGTTTCAGAACATCATTCCTCTGAAGGTTAGAAACCATCACCTAATTTTGAGCCAAAACTTGTTGAGGGCCAGTGTATAGCCACTTGTTTGTGTATCCACATTGGCACTTAAATAACTCCTCTCCCTCCCACTCCTGAAACGGACCCAGATTTAGAGAGCAAATCTCAACCCCCCTCATTCTTCTTTTGGTTAATCTAAACAAGCCAAGCTCTTTGTCTCCTTTCAAAACGCAGGTTTTTCCAGTCCTCTGATCATCTTAGTAACCCTTTGTTGCACCTATTCCAGTTTGAATTAATTTTTCTTAAACATGGGAGACTAGAATTGCACATAATACTCCAGAAGAAATCTCACCAATGCCTTCTATAAAGGTAATAGAGATGTAGCCGGGTTAGTCTGATCTTGCTGAAACAAAAGAAAGGACTATGCAACACTTTAAAGACTAACAAGATGGTTTATTAGGTGATGAGCATTCGTGGGCCAGACCCACTTCCTAATAAACCATCTTGTTAGTCTTTAAAGTGCTGCATAGTCCTTTCTTTTGTTTCTATAAAGGTACTAATACTTTCCTGTCTCTAATGAAAACACCTTTCCTGATGCATCCTCAGACTGCATGGCTACATCTAGACTGGCATGATTTTCTGCAAATGCTTTTAACGGAAAAGTTTTTCCATTAAAAGCATTTGCGGAAAAGAGTGTCTAGATTGGTACGGATGCTTTTCCACAAAAGCACTTTTTGTGGAAAAGCGTCCGTGCCAATCTAGATGTGGTTTTGCGCAAGAAAGCCCCGATCGCCATTTTCGCGATCGGGGCTTTTTTGCGCAAAACAATACCGCTTTTGCCCGAACGGGAGCAGCATAGCATTTCCGCAAGAACACTGACAATCTTACATGAGATAGTCAGTGTTCTTGCGGAAATTCAAGCGTCCAGTGTAGTCAGCTGGCAAGTTTTTCTGCAAAAGCAGCTGCTTTTGCGGAAAAACTTGCCAGTCTAGACACAGCCCATTAGGCTTTTCACAACCACATCAGACTAATGGTTCATAGTTAACTTGTGATCAATACACCCAGGTTTTTTTCTTTCTCTGTCACTTTGAACTGATAAGTCCCCAGTATATACCAAAAATTATTGCTAGTCCCTAAGGCATGACATTTTATTTTGCTCTAATAAATTTAATCTCTTTTCTATTACTCCAGTTTACAATGTCATCCAGATCATCTTGTATAATGTTCTCTTCCTTCTCAGTATTGGCCATACCTCTCAACTTTGTGTCATCCACAACATTTATTAGCACACACTCACTTTTATTAGCTAACATTTATTAGCACATACTCATCAGTGTCAATAGTAAAAAATGTCAACTAAGAACAATCCCAAGATCAATACCTGAGGAACTCTGCTAATAGCCTCCCTCCAGCTGGAGAAGTACCTTTCAGTATGACACTAACTAATTCCTTAGCCACATCCTCGCCAATGTGGCTAATAATTTCTCATGTGGAACTATATCAAATACCTTTCTGAAATCCACACAGATTTTACTGCATTTCCTGTCTTAAAAACAGTTATTTTCTCAAAGAAGGAGATCAGGTTAGTTTTGCATGATCTATCTTTTGAAAAACTATATTGTATTTTATCCCAATTTCTGTTAATCCCCGTGTCCTTAACTAAAATCCTCGCATACAACCAAGGTCAAACTAATAGGCCTGTATGTTTCCTGAATCATTCTCCCTTCCCCCGGCCTTTTATTAAAAATAGGAACTATATTAGCAATTCTCTGCTTTTAGATTAATTACAAATCTTTGCTATTGATCTTGCTATTTCATATGTCAGCTATTTTAATATTCTTGGATGGAAATTATCTGGGCCTCCCAATTTAGTCCCATTAAGAAGTTTATGATGGTAGAAATCAAACTCAAAGACATTTTACTTACGCAGCTAAATGCTAAGCTATCATTATGGCTAGAAAACACAAGGAGTCCTGTGGCACCTTAAAGACTAACAAATGTATTAAGGGCATAAGCTTTCATGGGCTGCAGCTCACTTCATCAGATGCATTTAGTGGAAACTTCAGTATGGCAGTGATTTATATATACACAAGGTTGGAAATGTTACATTATGATGGGAAGAGTCAGTGCTAATGACGCTAATTCAATCAGGATGAATGCAGACTACTTCCACTAGTTGATAAGGCAAGAATACCAGAAGGAGAGAAAATTACTTCATGCACTGTCCAGGTAAGAAACTCTAAAAAGGCTATTTAACATGAAGTGATTATGCATTTTCAATATAAGAACTGCAGAGCCACATCTGCAGAACTTCTTGGTTTCCAAGCAAAACAGCCTTTCTGACTCAGCTACTGATATAGCACTGACGTGAAAAGGAATCATGAAGTGGTAACAAAGTGTTTGGAGAGCCAGGTCTGTAGATACTTACTTGTTGAGCTCCTTGGTATGTGCATCCGCTCCTAGCTGTATCAGTCTATCCAGTACTTCCATTGGAGAGGTGGAGGATGTGCAGTCTTCATTCTGGTTTCCCTTGACTTGCTTTAGCAGCTCCTCAGTCTTCTTGCTAACAAAGAGGTAGGCAGTCTTTGGTAATGCAACCTCAAAAAGGTGCTCATATGAGAGAGGCTGCCCACTCCCAAACCCCACTCTTCTCTGTGCTGGTACTTTGCAAGGGCTGGGAGTGAAGATACTGGTCTCCATAGAGGATTGGCCTTCCCTGTTACCAGCAGGGTTTTCATCAGAGGCTCCACAGGGCCTATCTATGGGAGTAAATGCTTGTTTAGGTGTGTCTTGTGCACCCTCATGCCCAAGTTTATCCAGAGAAGAGGCTACTGGTTCAGAGCTCAGACTGTGTCCTTGAACACTACAGGCTACTGAATGGGGCTTCCTTTGAGAGGCTGGTAGACTCTCACTTGTGCGGTAAAAAGGAGAGTCAAAGCCTCCTCTAGGCACCACGGGCTCAGCGTCTGCTGTAGTGATCTCAGAGATCTCTTTTGATATTGCATCTGGAAAAAGAGGAAAGGCAATTAAAAGGCAAGTAAGTTAAAAAAATCTAGTGCTGTGTTAAGACAATCAACATTTCACTACTATATAGCACCCTCAAACCAACTCCTATGAACATTTAGGCATCAATTTACCTGGTACGCACTCAAGTATTCTCTTTGTAACCTGGGATACATTAGGACAGTTTACAGGATTTGAAAAACTAAGGGGCTGCATCCCCTGCTCGCTACACTCATCTACCCCCCCTTTCTCTGGCTGCTTTTGCTTTGCTGAGAGAGCCTGTTGATGCTGATGACATCATTCTGTCGCCTGGCAGGAACATTCTGTCATCCAGCAGAACATTTTTTTTTATATAGGGAGAAAGATTAAAAGATAGTACGATATCAAAATTGTGGGATGCAAATTAACTCATGGCTTTATGACAGTGATGAATTTTTCAAAATGCATTTTGAGTTCTTCAAAATTTGGGAAGATTTTTCAAATTCAAATGATTTAACAAAGTATTTGGGAATATACACATTACGATTTAAATGATTTACTACTATTAAGGGCCTGTCTGCTACGGGGTGGATCAGCATTATGATGATCAATCCAGAAGGGAATGATTTAGAGGGTCTAGTTAAGACCAGTTACATTGACTGCCAACCCCTTGGATGTCAGCTCCAGTACTTCACCAGAATGATACGAGTACGGGGAGTCAACAGGAGAGTTTCTCCCATCAACCCGGCATAGTGTGGGACCCCACGATAAATAGATCTAATCTACGTCAACTTCAGTTATACTACTGACATAACTCAAATTGCATAGATTAAATTGACTTTCCCCTAGAGTATAGACCTGTCTTAAGACAATACAAATAAGATTTTATTAAATGTGAAAAGCTAGCTTGTGGCTAAGCTAGAAACATCTTTTCTCTACAGGATAGATTAAAAACCCAAATAAAGACATTTTTAAATGGGTTTATTTAAAAATCAGAAGTTTTTAAATTTAGTTAAATACCCAAAATTAAATTTCAAAGTGACAACTTATTTAAAGGCTTAAACTTATTACAAATTAAAATAATTTTAATTAAATACAAAAAATATTCAGAAGTACATATTTGCAGCTAAGTTTTAGGTGGAAGTCAAACCACTGAATAATGAAAGTTTGGGAAAGTGCTAAACCAGCTTTTGACAGCAAGTAGCCTCTTTTGCAGGTGTAGAGATAATCTTTTCTTCATTTCAGTTTTTCAGCTCCCAAGCAATTTCTTAATGCTGAAATGAACTAGTTGAATAAGGCAGGAAAGCTTGTTTTCCTCTTCTGATCTATGTATAAAAACTAGGCATGACAAAAATGAGATCTATTAATTCTAAGATCTTGAAAGACGCTCCAAACAGAAATCATCAATTCATTAACTACATTTCAATTGATAAAACTATTAGTTTTAAATGCAAAGTTTGTTTTGATAAATGTTTTTAAACATATCCAGCACAAAGGATGTTATATTGAATTAAAAAATGGTATTTGTGCATTTTAACTGAATTTGAATTTCTATCCAAATGGCACTTTGCACTAATCACACACAAAAAAATCAATTCAGTAAATAAGAAATGCATCATTCACCATTTTCTAGCAAAAAATGTGAAAATTAATAAACCAAATAAAGGGAAGGTAAGCTATAGAATTGCTTAAATACAGGTATACAGATATAGTCTGGCCTCCTGGTTATCAAAAAGCAGCAAAGTCAGTGTAAAAATACTATATTTAGTTACAAATCTACATGTTTTAATGATTGTCAACCAATGAGAATCAACCTTTCTTTCAGAAAATAATTTAAAAATATAAAGATGAATTATTTACATCAAGGTTTTCTGCTTTCTGACTTAAATCATGATCAAAACTGGTGATTTAAATCAATCCACTTTCTTTCTAGGATTTTTTTTTAAATTTAATTCAAGTCCCTGTCAATAAAAAAGCTCCAAAGAGGAGTGATATATTTGTAAATATATCGGTCAGTTTACTTGCAGAAAAAAAATGCCTCTGAATTAAAGAGTCATATACATCTATAAGAAAAAAGGAGACTAACTATACTAAAGAGAAGAACAAACAATCCAGGGAACTATAGACCACTCAGCCTCACCTCAGTCCCTGGAAAAATCAAGGAGAATCCATTTTGAAGCACTTGGAAGAGGGGAAAGTGATCAGGAATAGTCAACATGGATTCACCAAGGGCAAGTCATGCCTGACCAACCTGATTAGTTTTTATGAAGTAACTGGCTCTGTGGACATGGGGAAGTCAGTGGATGTGGTATACCTTGACTTTAGCAAAGCTTTTGATACAGTCTCCCACAATATTCTTGCCAACAAGTTAAGGAAGTATGGGTTGGATAAACTGACTGTAAGGTGGCTGGAAAGCTGGCTAGATTGTCGGGCTCAGATGTGATCAACGGCTCCATGTCTGGCTGGTGCTCAGTTTCAAGTGGAGTGCCTAAAGGATTGGTTCTAGGGCCAGTTTTGTTCAACATCTTGGTAACTAATTGACCATTCATTATCAGTGGGCAATAGGTCAATGGAGGGAAGATAGGAGTTACTATAGAGAACTTTCTGGCTACATCTAGACTGGCCACAAATTCCGGAAAAGGGATGCAAATCAGGTAAGTCAGCATAGGGAAATCCGCGGGGGATTTAAATATCCCCGGGGGATTTAAATAAACATGTCCGCCGCTTTTTTCCCGGCTTGGGGAAAAGCCGGAAAAAAAGCGTCTAGACTGGCGTGATCCTCCGGAATAAAGCCCTTTTCCGGAGGATCTCTTATTCCTACCTGAAGG